TACTTTCTTCCTCTCCTCCAGATCCAGCCGATCCTGGTCGGCTTTCTGATCCCGGTTGAATTTCTCCAGCTCTTGGGCCAGCGTGGCGGCACGTTTGCTGGCCTCCTCCTTCAGCCGGTGGTATTTCTTCACCTAAGGAAGGGGGGGGGACAACAACGGGGTGAGGGGGGGGCTCCCCAAATTTACACAGGGACGCCGGGACGAACCCTACCTGGTTCTCCTCCAACGTCAAGTCGCGTCCTTGGCTCTGGCTCTCCTCTTCCATCCGTTCCTCAAATTCTTGCCGGGCTTTTTCCACCGACAGCATCTCCTTCTCCAACTCGTCCATGTCTCCTTTCCGCTTCTTGTACTGTTTTTGCGCGTTCTGCAGCGATTTCTTGGCCGCTTCCAGCTTCTTGATCTTGTGCGAGGTGTTCTCCTTCGCCTTGATGTACTGGGGACGCTTCTGGTTGAGCTCCGAATCTTTCTCCCTGCCAAAAAACACAAAAAAAACCACCCCAAAAAACAAGGTGAGGGGGTGTAGGAGCTTCTCACCGAACCCTTTCCCCGTTTTTGGGGTGCCTCACTTGATCTCCTTCTCGATCTGTTGTTGCTCCCTCATCATCTTGCCCAGCTCCTTCTTACGCTCTTTCAGCTCGTCCTCCCCCCGATCCATCCTTTTTTTGTCTCTATCGATCTCCCGGCTTTCAGCTCGTCCTCCACCCGATCCATCCTTTTTTTGTCTTTATCGATCTCCCGGTTTTTCAACCCCAATTCCTTATTGAGTTTTTCGATCTCCGCTTCGTTATGATAAAGCTTGAAAAGCTGGAGCTGCACTTGAGCCCGCACCACTTCGTCTTTCAACCGCTGGTAACGATCCGCCTAACGAGGAAAAGACGAAATAAAGCGTCGGGGAGGGAGGGGGGGATGCGACGATGATGGGGGACCCCCTCCCCGCGTCACCCCCAAACCTCTTCTTTCTCCTGCTTGGCTTCTTTGCGCTCGGCGGCGATGTTTTTCTTGCGGTGGTAGTTGAATTGCGTGTCCTCCTCCGCTTTCACCATCTCCTTCTTCCGCTTGTCGTATTCCTGCGCCAGTTCTCCCGACCGGCTGATCTCCTCGAACAACGCCGTCCGTTCCTTGGGGTTCTTCATGGCGATGGATTCCACGGCGCCCTGAGGAAAGAAAAAGGGGGAGGGGGGTGTCCCCCAAATCTTCACGGGAGGGTCTGGGTCTCTCTGTGGAGAGGGGAATGGGGGAGAAGCCCCTCAAATGCCTCCCCGTGGCCGGGGAATGGGGTGAAGGGTGTGGACAACCCCCCTCCCCAAATCCTCACGGCAGTCTGGGCTCCCCCTCCATGCAGGGGAATGGGGGAGACC